CCCCCCCCCCCAAACTATGGTGATGCTGCTCAATCCGAGGTGGTGCACGAACCAAGGAGGGCAATCAGATAGTCCCTGTTGGTAGGGCGGGGCCGAGATACAAGGATGAAGCCGCGCTTCAAGACCTATGATCAAGGAAACAGAAGTCAAAGGCCCAAGGAGCTATCCCCGGGTAAGAACTCCGACACTCAAGTTAGTAGAAGGTGATAGGATAGTCGAGCCGAGCTATAAGGATGCCGGTCCGAGTTAAGTAGCGGTGTAGGTCTTAGAAGTTGGATCCCTTACCTCGAGCATTGAGTACCTTTTTATAGCCGAAGATCCGTGTCCTAGTCGGACTGGGCTTCCAGGGTTGTCGGGATGAAGTTAGTCACTGAGGGATTCGAGATAGAGTCCCATTCCCCAGCAGAGTCGTCTTCCTTACTCCTCTTTACCCGTAGTTGTGCTCATCCATATGACGTGTTGTTGATGTGGCTAGAAGGATAAGATGGGGTTCCACAGTAACAACGTAGCTTGGTCGAGCTAGCCCGTCGTGGCTGAGCTATGTCGATCCGGCCGAGTTAGGATGACATGGCTGGGCGATAGTTGGGCAGCCACGTGTCTTGCAGAGCCAGCTCAGCCATGACCCAAGCACCACTCCCCCAGTTCTGAAGTCGAGGAATGAAGTTTTCTAGGATCATTGCCCGGCTGAGGAACTTTCGAGCATGTGTATCATCCGTGCAGTTTTGGTCGTTGCCGTGGAGTCCTCCGATCGTCGACTGCAGAACTTAAATAAGAACCAAAATTTCGGTTCCCGAACCACTCCCCCACTTATGTTGTCGAGGAGGGGGAATGCTCTGCCAGACTATTGCGCGGCCTTGTGGCCGTAAGCCGCCTAGTCCGAGGATTTGTGTCGAAGCTGGACTGGTTCGGCGGGTCTCCACGTCGAAGGTTGGACTAGTACAGTGGCTGAACCGACACAATTAATGGGTGCAACCGCTGCCTGCTGAGGGTGCCACTTCGGTTTCTAAGGCTTCCCGTCATACGTTATTGGTCACGTTAGTTGGCCTTCTGAGGTGTTGTCAGTGGTGCTTCATTTGCACCACTGACCTCTCCTCGATCTGTGCCCCTGATAGCTATAAAAGGAAAAAGGGGTCCCCCCCTCCCTATCCTCAGTATCGTTTGCAAGAGTTTGGCATCCACTGCTTGGTAGATTTGTCGGTTACATAGTTTGGCAGATAGCTCGGTAGACAGCTTGGTAGATAGCTCGATGGGTAGCTTGGCAGATAGCTCGGTAGCTTTCGTTGTTCAGTTTCTCAAATTGCCCGGTATGTCCTCTTCATCTCGTCGGTCCTCTTCCTCATCCGGGTCCTCCAGTAGTTTTGGTTTTATCTCTTCTCGTGGCTTGATTTATAAGCCTGAGCTGAGAGACTTCGTGGCTGCCGAAATTGAGGAAACCGAGGCTGGTCCCTCTAGGATGGAGATGGAGCTTCCTCTTCAGACAAGTCGTCGGTTTGGTACCATGCCCAATGTCTTGGCGCCCGGGGATATGGCTTGGATCCGAGCTACATATGCCATTCCCATGGAGTACCAGATAAGGTGTCCGCTGCCCGGGGAGATGGCCACTGATGCTCAGCCCGGTGAGCTGTGTGTTTATGAACATAGCTTGGAGGTTGGGCTGAGGTTCCCATTGAGCGAGGGGTTCGCCGAGGTGCTAAACTGGTACAMGGTGTTTCCGGTGTAGCTGATGCCAAACTCCTTTAGGTTTTTGCTTGGCCCTATGTCCTATTGTGCCATCCGCGATATTGAACTGACCCTGGGGATGGTGAGCTTTATGCTCCAACTGAAACACCACCAACAGGGGTATTATTACTTCTCCACCTGGCGGAACATTCGGTCATCAGTCGGAGCCCCTTCTTCTATGAACCACTAGAAAGAGTCGTTCTTCTTTGTGTGAATCCCTAGGGCTCCCTTTTCTTGCTGAGCTGCAGGGGCCGAGGACGTCTTTTCTGCAACCCCAATGGTCGGACCTGAGCATGATCCACGAAATCGACGTTATCGCGTACACATGCTTAGAGATGCTGATGCTCGCCGGTCTAATGGAAAGGGTGGCCGGTCTGTTTCCTTTTACTTTTGTTTGCCGAACTGACTTTAGTTTGCTTGCTTTGTTCTGACAAAGGCAGGAACGAGCTGGTGTGCAACCGGAGGCTCGTCCCAAGGCAGATGAGTAGCCACGATCTGAAGACTGGGAGGCTCATCGGCGAAGAAGGATTTGACGAGAGGTCGAGGAGGACGACGTTGTCGTGGTTTACCCCAAAGGGGTCCGTTGCCCTGTTGGTAACCCAGTGACTGAGGCAGGAAGCAGCTCGGGTCTGCACATGCCGTGGTGGTCGGTTCGCATGGACGATAACTTGGAGACACTCGGGGTTCTCGGGTAGTTACTACGGGGAATCATGACCATGTCCATCGCTTGGGAATCGGTCAGGGTTGGTAGCGGAGCCTTGGAGTGTGCTCTGCTTCGGTAGTGCCACCAAGTGAGTAGTGACAGGATCAGCCCCTTTGTCGGACAAGGGTAATGATCGGGAAAGGCACTCTCTCTGATGGAAACCAAACTACCGGCAGTTGATTTCAATCGTTGGAATTTTGTTTTGCAAAATATATATATATATATATATATATATATATGTATATGTACGATTTCAAAATGTTTGCAAATGGTTTTAATTCTCGG